CGCCGGGATTTAAAATATTCGCGGCTTAATGAAAATTTTTGAATTTTTTCAACAAAAAAGATATGTTCTATTTTATCCGCTAAATATTATCCGACGACTACCCAAATTAGTAGGCTTCTTCCCCGCCCTAAACTCTATCTACATGCGAAATTTCGCGTCGATTGGTCTATAATTGCGACCTGTATAGCTTCTGCAAAATCCGACATTTTTTCAGTATTTGGTCCATTTCAACCCCTAAACATTTGGCGATCATCTCCAAAAGAAATAGGCTTCTATTCTGACCCACCTTCGTGCAAAATTTCGTAAGGATCGGGCCATACTTGCGACCTGTAGCGTGATTACAAATTAACATGGACAGACGGACGGACGGACATACATAGCTAGATCCATGGTACAATGAAGAGAAGGTAGGTCAACTTTGAAAAAATTGCAAGTATAGAGATCTACCTGTTTGGCTTGTAGTGTCAGAAATAGTATCAAAACAATAACAAAATCAAACAACTTGTTGCATTTATTTTGAATAAATAATTGAAAACCGCGAAAACTGAATGAAAGGTCAACACTTCTTTTCAAAACCAGGTTCTATATATCTCTAAAGGATGATTTCGCTACAAAAACTCTAGATTTTGTCGATGCATACGATGAAATAAACATTTTGAAAACATCCGAATTTGAATGTTTTCTGAACAATTTTTTTGTTATTGAAAAGAAAACACACATAAACAAATAAAGATAACATATTAAGCCAAGAAAATAAAAAAAATTGAAATCATATGGTATCATAGCCCTACCTTGATATCATTGTACCATGGCTAGATCGACTCAGATCGGCGAGCTAGGAAGATCCATATATACTTTCCTATATGGGAAACCAATATTTCGAGGTGTTACATAAATTCTGGCCCAATCAAACTTATAATACCCCCAACACATAGTGTTGTAGGGTATAAAAAACAATTGTAAATACACCCATTTAATTAAATTTTTTAAATTATGTTTTTTTTAAGAAATTTCTATGAAACTGCAAAATTTTGGCAATGTACCTTTAATTTTCTGTCACGCCATTTTTTGATGAAATATTGAAGAGCAACTTGTTCTGTTTGAAAAAAATAGTTTTAATACGGCCACACCCATATTGGATTCAATAAAACAAAATGTCATCATTATTGTTTTTTTTAAATAAAAACTAAATAGTGTTACTCCACATGTTTGCTTTTATTTTTCTAGTTATTTCAATTCCAGTCAGCATGTCTTGCTGTTCAGCATTCCATTCTCATTCTTCGTGTACCTTATGTATATGGTTATATAACGTCTCCCTCTGCAAAACGCTGTAAAACATTTTCTCTGCCGAAGATAGTTTTGGGGTCTTAGAAAACACTGTCCAGGTTTTGCATGTAGAAAATATATTGCAAATATCCTGGTTTTTTGAGCTCGCTAATATTTGGGAGGGAAAGGCCTACCTATAAATAAATATAGAGAAGTTTAATAACAACTCTAACAGGTGTTGGAGCTTAGTTTCCCCTGATGTTGGGAACAACTCACATTTATCCAATAAAGAACAAGTAAAAAAACATTAAGTTCGGCCGGGCCAAACTTTTAATACCCTCCACCTTAGGGTAAAAGAAACATTAGAAGAAATGTGGCAAAAACCATTAAAATGCCGATTATGGGGAGGTACCGTTATATGGGGGCTATACCAAAACGTGGACCTATAATTACAATGTTTCGCCACCGGAGCTGGAACCCTTTATGACCCACAAATACCAATTTTTAGACAAATCAGTGAAAAAATGTGGCAAAAACCATCAAAATACCGAATATCGGGAGGTACCGTTATATGGGGGCTATATCAAATCATGGACCCATGCATGCAATGTTTCGCCACCGAAGCTGGAACCAATTATGACCAACAAATACCAATTTTCGAACAAATCCCTGAAAAAATGTGGCAAAAATCATCAAATTACCGAATATCGGGAGGTACCGTTATATGGGGGCTATACCAAAACGTGGACCTATAATTACAATGTTTCGCCACCGGAGCTGGAACCCATTATGACCAACAAATACCGATTTTCAGACAAATCCGTGAAAAAATGTGGTAAAAAAAAATTAAAATACTAAATATCGGGAGGTACCTTTATATGGGGGCTATACCACAACGTGGACCTATACATGCAATGTTTTGCCACACGCTCAGGGACCCGCTATGACCTACAAATACCAATTTTAAGACAAATCTGTGAAAAAATGTGGCATAAATCATCAAAATACCGAATATCGGGAGGTACCGTTATATGGGGACTATACCAAATTATGGACCCATACATGCAATGTTCCGCCACCGGAGCTGGAAACCATTATGACCCACAAATACCAATTTTTAGACAAATCGTTGAAAAAATGTGGTAAAAAAAACTAAAATACTAAATATCGGGAGGTACCTTTATATGGGGGCTATACCACAACGTGGACCTATACATGCAATGTTTTGCCACACGCTCAGGGACCCGCTATGACCTACAAATACCAATTTTAAGACAAATCCGTGAAAAAATGTGGCATAAATCATCAAAATACCGAATATCGGGAGGTACCGTTATATGGGGACTATACCAGAACGTGGACCGATATATCTCATTTTCAATACCAACCATCCTAGACACAATGCAAATAGCTCTGCTAAATTTTGGAGCTCTACGTCAAATAATGTGGGCTGTATCGTGATTTCAACAGACAGACAGACGGACAGACAGACAGACAGACAGACAGACAGACAGACAGACGGACAGACAGACAGACAGACGGACATCGTTGAATCGACTTAGAATTTTGTGCTGATTATGAATATATATACTTTATGGGGTCTAAAACGAATATTTAGGGATGTTACAAACGGAATGACAAAGTTAATATACCCTCCTTTCCAAGGTGGAGGGTATAAAAAGAGTTGCAAAAGGAACTCTTTCAAAAAAGGACAATTATAAAAAAGTGAAAACGCAGCTGAGTTTGGCCTGGTCGAACTTTTTATAACCTCCATTTACCCCAATCCCCCCATTAAAAAAAAAATCGTCAAAAAATACCTCTTAAATAACAACTGTTATATGTGAGCGGTGCAAAGACGTGGACCTGCGTAGAAAATTGTTCGTCAAAGGTTGAAGTGCGAACTTCAAATACGAAATTTGAAAAAATTCCGGTGAATATTGTAGCTAAAATCATCAAAATGCCGAATATCGGGAGTCCATAGTATGGGGGATATCCGATATCGGGGATCTATATAGACAATTCTTTTCCAGGTGTAGAGTATTCCGCAGTTACTCCTTTTGTGGATTTTTAGACAATTCCATTGGAAAACTCAAAATACCGAATAATGGTACACATATCGCAATATTCCATTCGGCAAATATTGAAAAATGAGCTAGGGGTGAAGACATTGAAATTCCAAAAAGTGCAAGAACTTACACCGCAACATAAAGGAAATAGACTCAAACGAGCTAAAAAATTGCTTCGCTTGGCCGAAAGTGTCACCACTGCCGAATTTGGTTTTCTCCGATGAGAAAACATTTGTTGTTCAGCAGTTTGTAAACAAACAAAATGATAGTGTGTACTTGCCAAAGAGGTCAACTGAAAATGTGCACCTTCGGTTGGCCACCAGAACTCAAGCGCTGGTCATGGTGATGGCCGATGGCCGATGGTGGCATCAGAATAAATGCCGAATATTATCGCGAAAATATTCTGGAGGGTGTACTAAAGCCTTGGCCGCAGACCTTGGACATTCCAACAGGACTCAGGACCATCGCACTCAGCACGCGCCACCCAAGAATGGTTGCAAAATGAGGTTCCTCGCTTCATTTCCAGCGTACAATGGCCACCAAAATCTCCGGATACCAATCCGTTTGACTATTGTGTCTGGAGTATTTTGGAAATCAAGGTTGGCACTAAAAAATACCAAAGTGTTGGTATTGATAATGACATATATCGGTCCACTTTTTGGTATAGCCGCCATATAACGCTACGTCCCGATATACGGTATTTTGATGATTTCGGAACATTTTTTCACGGATTTGTCTAGAAATTGGTGTTTACGGGTTATAATGGGTTCTAGCTCCGGTGGCGAAACATTGCATGTATAGGTCTACGTTTTTGTATAGGTCTACGTTTTTGTATAGCCCCCATATAACGGTACCTTCCAATATTCGGTACTTTGCTGATTTGTGCCACATTTTTTCATGGATTTGTCTAAAAATTGGTATTTGTAGTTCGTAATAGGTTCTAGGTACGGAGGCGGAACATAGTATATATGTCCCCTTTTTTGGTATAGACCCCATATAACGGTACCTTCCGATATTCGGAAAATTTTCCAAATTTGGTATTTAAGAAGATTTGGTAGATGACAAATATAAAATTGTATTGTATAGGTCCACAAATATTATATGTATAGCGTCCATATAACGGTACCTTCCAATATTCGGTATTTTGCTGATTTTTGCCACATTTTTTCATGGATTTGTCTAAAAAATGGTATTTGTAGCTCGTAATAGGTTCTAGCATCGGTGGCTAAATATTGTATGTATAGGTCCACGTTTTGGTATAGACCCCATATAACCGTACCTTCCGATATTCGGTATTTTAATAATCTTAGTCACATTTACCCACGAAATTTTTTCCAAATTTCGTATTTAAGAAGATGTGGTAGATAACTATCCTTGAAGTAAAGAAAAATGTCTATAGAGATTTCCGTTTTGGTATAGCCCCCATATAACCCACTTTATGGTTTTTTTTGAAAAGTTTAACAGATTTTCCAAACGGTCTTGCTGGTATTTGTTGTTTAAAGTGGAAGATGTTTGAATTCAGATACTTTTATATAAAAATGATTTCTTTTCCCAAATGTGGTTGGTATTAAAAGTCGCCCCGGCCGAACTTAATTTTTTTACTTGTTTTTCTCTATTGATTGAATAAAAAACTCCATAGAAGTTATTATCTTTGTGTTTTTATTAAAAAAAAAATAAAACTTAAGAAAAAATTATAATATTTCTTTATTTAAAAATAAACATATAATAATGAGCCTAGTTCACTGTTGCTGGGCAGTGGTTTAACTTAAGTATCCAATTGTTAGGAAATATTTCGTTGTTTATTAAATGATGGCTTAAAAAATTAAGCCACGTCTTCGATGGCATAATTATAAAAAAATAGAAAGAATTTTATAATGCTGAATTTGTTTCTTCAAATCTCATATTTTTTGCACATTGACAGCTAATGGTGTTTCAGCTTTTAAATAAATGGAATTTTTTTCGTAAAATTGTCACACTTTATTGAATAGAACACACTCACCGAGAAATGGGAGTGTATGACAGGGAGAGAGAAAAATAATATATAGATGTGATTTTGCTAATGCATTTCTGACCTTGACCACATTATTTTCTTTTGGACAATTTTTTAGAAATTCCATTAATTTATACTATTCCAAAGCGAAGGAAATTGTACATTTTCTACAATAATAACATGCGCCGCTTCAGTGAATCATAGCTTCCTTGATTCCTCTTCATTCACCTGTGGATGAGTGCGTATATACTCCAAGGCTCTGTCTACATATTCCGGCCTCATTGGTATGTGATCCCCTGTCGGATGATAGCCATCGCTGTCCGCCACATAGGTCCATGTTATGGGTAAACCTTCAGGCGAAACGTATTGCACAGCACCCACAGCCCCATTGACATTGCCGGCCCCCTTGACCGTTATTCCGTTCGATGTTTGAAAATCGAAATTGTAATCGCCATCTTTATTCGGTGTCTTGTTGTTGTAGTAAATTGTGTATGCCTCACGATCGAGGGCTTTGGCAACCGCGTCACTATATCCCACACAGAGACATAAAACAACCAGCAAGGGAATAACCAGAGAAACCTGAAAGAAAGAAGGAATGATGCGAAATTTATTGACGATAATTAATAAAAGTTGACAACCAAATGTACACATGTATTCGTTTTGCTCGGTGGCAAGGAACAAAAATTTTTGTTGCTCATCTAATTTGGGTTTTTGTTTGTTTAGTTCTATTGCTACATAATTCAAGTCTATTGTCGTTTAACTAAAACTTGTATCATAATATTTATGTTTTTTTTTTTTTTTGATATTTCTAGATTATTGAAATAATTATATCTACAATAACGCAATGCCCACATAAGAGAGAGAGAGGGAGAAAGAGAGTCAGAGGAGGGAGAAAGATAGTGAGAGGAGGGATTAGGAGGAGAGAGAGGGAGAAAGAGAGTGAGGGAGAGAGAGAAAAATTTAATAAAGTTCGTGCCTTAAGTCTTTTAAGAGAGAGGGTGTAGCAGAGATAAAGGGAGATAGAGAGAGAAAAATTTAATAAAGTTCGTGCCTTAAGGAGGGTATACCCAGTGTTGCCAACAATTTGAGAGCTAAAAGCGTAATTAAAAACGAGAAAAGAGTAAATGGCGTAAAAACTTTCCTAAAAAAAGCGTAAAAAGCGCTATGTATTTTTTTCTAACTAAAATGGCAAAATTGTCAATAAAACACTATTTTTAAGTAAATGCTGTTTTATTCAAAAATTGAGATCGTATATTATATAAATATTTCATATGCATGAAGTGCATACATATTTTTAAAAAATATGATATATTAAGAAGTTTTAACATGTGGTTAAAATTTTCAGACATACATTTTTATAAACAATTATGTTCACCCATAAAACCCATAGCTTCAAATGCAGTTGAAGTTCTGTAAACTCGTACAACAAAGCAGTCATGTATGAACTTACGTTTTTTATACCCTCCACCATACTATGCATGGTATATTAACTTTGTCATTTCGTTTGTAACTCCTCGAAATACTCATGTCATATTCTTGATGTCCGATGTCCGTCTGTCTGTCTGTTGTAATCACGCTATCTTTTGAACAAATTAAGATAGAAGGCTAAAATTTTGCACAAATGTTTATTTTTTCAGTAGGCAGGTTAAGTTCGTGAATGGGCCATGTAGGTCCACGTCTTGGTATAGCCACCATAATTCGGTATTTTGATGATTTTGGCGACATTATTCACCGGAATTGTTTCAAATTGCGTATTTAGAATTCGTAATGGGATCTACAATATATGACAGAAAATTGTCTATGCAGTTCCAGGTTTTCGTTTGAGATGTCGTATTTGAACTTCATAATGTATGCTTCAGCCTATGACAGAAAATTGTCTATGCTGGTCCAGGTCTTCGCACAGCTCCGATATAACGGAACCTCTCTATAACGACATTTTGATGATTATAGCTACATTATTCACCGTTTATTTCAAGTTTTCGAACTTGAATATGGTAATGGCTTATGACAAACAATGCCTATGTAGGTCCACGTCGTATAGACCCCAGTAAAACGGCTATATTCGGTATTTTTAAAATTTATACAGAATTTTTAAGGATTTTATTTTTTGAAAATTTCCAAATTCGTTCCAAATGGTGGAGGGTATTCAAAGTTCGACCCGGTCGAACTTACTGCTTTTTAACTTGTTTCTCGTTCATTTCACTTTTCCTTCAATTGGTTTATAATACATAAAATTCTTCGTTTTATTTTAGTTTATTAAAAAAGAGTTACATGTAAACAAAAGAACTTCAATGACAGGAATGAAAGACAGGTAAAGAATTTGCAGTAAAGGACTTGCGATAAGTAGATGTCATACTATCGAAATATTCGAATGTATAAACATTGACACATGTTAAAATCTAAAACCCGCTAAAAGCACCAACAGAAAAGATGAAAAGCGTACGTACAATGCTTTTTTTTCGTTTCGCGCTATGCCTACTATTTTGGTGTTTTGGGGGGTCTAAAAAGCACCATAAATAGTGCGAAAAGCACTAAGTTGGCATCGCTGGGTATACCACCATACATAGTATGGAGAGTATATTAAGTTCGTCATTCCTTTTGTAACTCATCGAAATAATAATTTTGGACATAACAAAATAAATATATATTCTAGATCAGTGTAAAATTCTAAGACGACTTAGCCCTGCCCGTCTGTTGTAAGATCAATACACCTTTTGTCTGCAGGCAGGTCAAGTTTCGAAGATGGGCAATATCAGTCCACGATATCGTATAGCCCCCATACAACGGTATTTTGATGATTGTAAATAAATTTTTCAATCAAAATTGTCTGAAAATTCACAAAAACAGTCCCTTCTGAGTACTTCACCCCCTGGAAGAGTATTGTCCATATAGGTCCACGATATCGTATACACCCCATATAACGGTACCTCCCTAATTCGGTATTTTGATGATTTTAGCTAAATTTTTCAATGGGCTTGTCCACAAAATCCATACTAGGAGTTCTTTCTAAGCACTTTACTCCCATATAGGTCCCAGATATCGTATAGCCCACATGAAACGGTGACCCAGCCCCGATATTCGGTATTTGGATGATTTTAGCGACATTATTCGCCGGAGTTGTTTCAAATTTCGTATTTAGAGTTCGTAATGGGAACTACAGTCTATGACAGAAAATGTAGGTCCAGGTTTTCGTATAGCCTCCATATGTCAGTACTTCGAAATATATACGGTATTTTGACGATTTTAGTTAAAATATTTACCGAAGTTGTTTGAAATTTGGTATTTGAAGTTCCTAATAGGTACTACAGCCTGTGACAGAAAATTGTCAATGAGGGTCTAGGTCTTCGTATAGCCCCGATATAACCGTACCTCCCTATATACGGTATTTTGTTGATTTTAGCTAAATTATTCAGCGGATTTTTTTCAAGATTCATGTTTCAATATTGTAATGGCTTATGACAAAAGTTGCCTATTCAGGTCCACGTCTTCGTATAGATACGACCAAAACGTGTCTTATGTGTCTTGGTGTCCTCCGTTGTTCTGTCTGTCTTGTTGTTGGGCACGTTAACTCTCGACGGGAATATCCGATTTGTATATATCTATATATATATATATATCCGATTTATATATATCTTCATCCGATTTTAGGTTTCTTGTGCATCAAATGGCTAATATCAGTCCAAATGGTGTGAATTTTGCTGCATCCGACCGAATTCAGCTTACAAGCATGTGCTTCAAATTTGGTGAAAATCGGTTCAGATATAGCTATAGCCATATATATGTTTCATCCGATTTTGGTGTTTAAGTCCCTTACATTTGTTATATGCACTTCACAAGACTGATATTAAGCACCAGATATCAGATACAGCTTTTATATACATAGATCAAATTTTATCAAGATCGGTTCAGATTTGGATATAGCTCCCATATATAACTTCATCCGATTTTAGGTTTCTTGTGCACCAAATGCCTAATTTCAGTCCAAACTGAGTGAAATGTTGCACTTCCAAGTGAATTCATTCAAGAAGTTAATACTAAAAATTGGTGAAAATCGCTTCAGATATAGCTATAGCTCCTATATATATGTTTCATCCGATGTTGATGTTAAAGTCCCTCACATTCGCAATATACACCCCCTAAAAACGATATTTGGTACCAGATATTAGATAGATATTTAGCCTAGGAATACATGATTCAAATTTTATCAAGATCGGATCAGATTTGGATATAGCTTACCTATATATCTTCGTTCGATTTAAGGTTTTTTGTTCACCAAATGGCTAATATTAGTCCAAATAGATTTTCGCAGTTTAACCGAATTTAGCATAGGAGCAAGAATTTCAAATTTGCTCCCATATATATGTTTCATCCGATTTGGTGTTTAAATCTCCAAATTTCGGAATATGCACTCTACCATAATCATATTTTGTACCAGATATCTCATAGAGCTTAGAAATTCCCAAACCTTTATTTTACGAGAGCTGTACTAAATATGCATAGTGGTGTAGGGTATAGTTATATAGTCATATAGTCCGCCCCGCCCGACTTTTGAGCTTTCCTTACTGGTTTTAATAACCAAAATGCTCACAAAATACGAAAAAACAATTGATTCGTGTTGTACCTTTTTAGTACTCAAAATGTACAATTTGTTCAGTTTGACAAAATCAAAACTATATAAATCGTTCTAAATGTCCAGACTTTTAAGGGTTTATATCATAATAGGAAAACGTTTACCTTTTTCACCAAAAAGTCTTCAACATCTTTAAATTTGAAATTTACCGAGGAGGATGTTAGTGAACCCACATCTATTTTTTCTGTCCAAAACTATTTTAACGTGTTCATATGTAAATCCTAGAAACCAACAGTAACTCAATATCAAATTTCAGGTCTATCCCTTTACCTAATATCTAATCCTAGTGAATACTTTTCGAACAACTATAGTAGGCATTTAAAAATCCATAAAATCCGAAGTAAGCATCCGGCTTTGTCATATGTCACACATCCCATTACTTAGATATCAAATTTCAGATTTATTTCTGTATCCTCACAAAGTTAGTACAATTTGATAAAATTATAGTACTCATATTCAAAACCAGCTCCTTCTCTCAACCACAGACACCAACGGTGACATCCATTTTATTTTTAGGACTTCAGCTCTGTAATTTTAGATTACCAAATTTAGTACAATTGTAGAACACATATCCTAAAGCAACTTGTTCTCTCAACCACAGAGACCAACATATCAATTTTAAGGATTTTAGCTCTATCTCTTCACCCAATATCAAACCCTTTTTTTGAAACCACCTCCATATGTTAACCATAGAGACCTCAATATCAAATTTCAGTATTTCACCTTTATTCCTTGACTCAATTCCCAATTTAGTACAGCCTACACATGAACAGAACAGCACTATCTACTACCTAACTAATAAGAGAAATGATAATCCGATTTTGCTCCAACGTTGCAAATCCTAATATTTGCATCAGTGCTAGGTCAGGTGAAACAAGTTAAAGAGCAGTAAGTTCGGCCGGGCCGAACTTTTAATACCCCCACCATTTGCAACGAATTTGGAAATTTT